TCGAAGGGAATACAGGATACTATGCAGGGCTGACCTGAGCCCTCCCCACTACCAGCTGCTCGCCTGAGGTGGAGGAAAATAACATTAAGGGGAAAAAGTAACAGATCCATCAAGGTTTCCACTAGAATGGGTTGAAATTTGTCAAACACATTATTTTGGCGTTGAAAAGTGGGTGGATTTTTTTTTTTTTCAAAAATGAACTTTTTCACAAAAACGTGTTGACATTTTTTGGTTTTCACAAAAAAAGTTCATTTTTTTCTACTGAACATTTTAAGAGAAAACATTATTGATGTGATCATCACAATTTTGACAATGCTTTTAATAAAAAAAATTGGGTAGGTAAAAATTCACCAAAAATTCCAAAAGTATGAAAAATGGGTCCATTTAGAAACAAAAACGTCGTCTTCTTTTTTGTGTGTCTGTGCAAAATTAGCTTTTCATTTTTCTACTATCTCTAATTTGCGTAAACTGTCGGTCCTTCATCAGTTAAGACTGAGCCGATCACAACACGTCTTCCAATCTTCTCTCGCTCTGGCCATCCTTCGCCATGCTTGTCCATATCTCCTTGTTAGGAAATCATCCCACCTCTTTGGAGGCCGACCGCGTGGCCGTTTCAGTTCTCGCGGATACCACTCAGATATAGCTGCAGTCCATCTGTTGTCACTGAGTCTCTAATTTATGCATGTCTTAATGAGTAACTGGGTGTATTATCATCAGTGCACTCCCTTCCCCCTTCCTTGCCTTTATGGCCTTTGCTTGTTGTGTCTTCTTAAGTCTAGTTTGTATACTCTGCAAACCTGGCACTGTGACTTTGTTTGCTCTCTGTAGCCTCTAGAAAAAATGTATTTCATTCGATATAGGCACTTTATACTATGCTCATTTCTGTAGAATATGAGCACCTTCCAGTTGTACATGAAGCCATGTGACTAACCTCTGTCACATGTAGTTTGTTCTTTCTCTCGGCCTTTTTTCTGGAAGAGAGTTGCATGTGCGGTGCAAGGTTTTGTTTTGGTAGGGTTTTGTTTTTGTTTTAAATGTCCACGCTGCCCTGTGTTGATGTTGAAGAAGGAATTGAAGGAATGCACCCTTCACTTGGAGTAGAAAGTGGTGAGGTTTGATAGTCCTTAGTTTCTGGGGGAGCTCATTCGACAGGCTTGGACCAGCGCCCAGGAAAGCTCTGTCTTCTACACAGATGAGCTTTACCCTTGTGGTAGAAGGATAGAAGAATTTTGCCTGCTTATACATATAACAATGATAAGAAGAAGAAACCGAGCCAAAGAGCAAGAAGAACATAACATTTTCCTCAGAGGCTGAAATCTGTGCTGCATTTTTCCAGACCGTAGTCTCAGCACAAGGGGAGCAGTACTAACGTCTCCATGTTTCCCGGCTAAAGTTCCTTAAAGCTGACATGAAGGAGCATCCTTAAGGGGTGAGAAGATAGTTCAGACTCCATGGCCATTCACTCCTTGGCCTTTCTGCTGAGAATGCCAACAAAGCTGCCAGTTAGGCCAAGTACACTGGTTCCTTTTGGTGACATGTTCGCACTGGGAACTGGACTGAGACCACTAAACTCATTTCACAGAAGCCACTGAATGGCCCATCAGATGCATCAACAATTTTAGCTTGGATTTGACAGGTGACCTAGTGGTGAAAGTCTCTATAACTCCCTGAGCCCTGCAAATCTTGGATAACCAAAAGCACCTACTGCCCCCTTGAGGTTACTCCTTGGGAGTAACTATAATAAAAACTAAATGAGGAGCAGGAAGGAGAAGAGGAGGTATATATCTAGGAACATATGAAGAATAGTGTTTGCCCCTACCCTGCCTGGCCTATGCCTTCTATGTTGTTTTTTCATGCGCCATGCTCCAGAAGACAAAAATAGCAGATTTTCTCTCAAAAGAGTAACCTCCATTGAGATTTCTCTCCCTTCTGTTTCATTCATGCTGACAGCTGAGTTCAAAGCCTGCTCCACCCACATACTCAATTATCAATGGGAGAGAAGAAGAAATTCTCTTCTGTCTCCGATAAGGAAGTGTATCCGTCTATTTAATAGAACATCAGGACTAATATGCTATTAAGCAACTGACTAGAAGGCCCCCTAGATATAGGTTAGTTACACGGAACTCTCTTTTTCGTAAGCTCCCCTTCAAACCCGCTCTGATGCTTCCCAGGAAGCCTGCCAAAATTTCAGGTTGAATTGAATCGTTCCATGAGCAGCAGAGTGGAGCAGGCCCAAGAGGCATGACCTGAGATGAGCTTGATGTAACTGACACAACTTCTTTTTCCTCATTTCATTATGTCCCTCCCTCCATCTGATCATTAGGCAATTCCGATGTTTTGCAGAGTCTGTGTTTTTTTCCTGCTCTGGTTAGTGCTTGCTGACCATGTAGCTCCAGCTGAGGGGAAGAGGTGTAGAAATACCAGGGTTGTGTGAATGAAAATAGCATTGACAAGGGTTGGAGGCTAGTGCTTCAGTTCTGTCAGGAACATGAGTCCCATGTGAAAGTCAGTGGGACTCATGCTCCTAAATTACTTAGGCTATCTTGAAAATGCCAGCCTCTTTTCCTAATATAAAATACCTCCAGATTAGTGCTCACGCGCCACCCTACAATAATAAAACTGCGTGCATAAACAATGGAGGTGGGAAAACAATTTTTGTGAGGAGACTTACGGTAAAATGTTCACAGAGTTTCCAGACACTGAATAATTATGTTTAAACTTAGGAAAAATATCTCAGCGCTACCCTCTTTAATGTTGTCTGTGTGACATATCTCAAAGCTGTGTGTCAGCCGGAAGCCAAAAGGAGCTTTCTGTGATCACGTGTGTCATTCTGGGGATTGTATCCGAGCATATTAGTTGGTTTCACGCTGGGACATGTGAAACATTTTGGTGATTTCTTTTCACCTACTACACCAGTGCATGGTGAGTGCAGTGGACATGTTCATGAAGAAGAGAACACTGCATATGATCCTAAACCCTTAATGACCACAACTAAGGTTTTCCCATGGTTACAGGTCACATAACTAGCCTATCACCAGACTGTCAGTGCTGTGGAGGTGGGAAAGAATGAGAGAAGGAATTGTTTTCTATGTCCATGTGTGTGATTTGGGGATCTGTGCACTCATAGTGCCTCAGTCCCTCATCTGTAACATGAGGATAATAAGTCTCCCTTTGTGGACTGGACTGTAAACTCTTTGAGTCAGGCGCTGTTCTCACAGTGGATTTGTACAATGCCTTATTTTAAGTTGTAGCTTCTAGGTGCTGGGTAATAATAAAAAAGAGAGAGGAATGGAAAGATTCAGGCCATTTCAGCTCTTTGAGACCTTGATTCACAGCCCACTAAAGCCAATGAGAAACTGTAAAGCTTGTCTACAATGGCATTTTTCTCAAAATCCTCCACCATTGCATTACCTGTGATGTAGCAACCCCCGGTGGTTGTATTGGCTTGAGTGCTAGTGGAGTCTGGCCGTCAGGTTTATCACCAGAGTGCTGTCTAACTAGACCTGCTGAGAAGCGGAGTGGTTAAAGTGCTAGCAGTTTACGCTAGTGCTCTTGCTGTTGTGACCACTGGGGGTGCTGTGCTGGTAGGAGATTTGAAGCAAAATGCTCAAATCGACAAAGCCTGAGTGTTTGGAAAGGGGAGTGTTCGGTTAGAGAACTCTGTACCAGCCGTTTAAATAGACAAGGTATCGGGGTCTAGGCGCAGTTTATTTGACTGCAGAGTATAATCTTATCAAAGTGAGATAACCTGCTCTAAGACTAAATAACGAATATTTGCATTTATGGGGCACCTCCCAAGCATGCTTTATACACACTGCTGAAGCGGAGCGACGATACTCTACGAGGTAGGAAAGTCTTGCTGTGCCCATTACCGAGATGGGCAGACTGAGGGACAGAGCAGTTACCTGACACATGGCCAAGGCCCCACAGGAAGTGAGTCACAAAAGTGGGGCCAGAACCAGCTCTCTACTCCCAGCCCAGGGATTTAGTTACAGGACCTGTTGGAGGCTTGTCTGTTGGGTATGTCTACACTGCACACTAAATCCAGCCCGGCTCCATCGCCGGTTTGAACCCAAGCCCCCTTTCCGTCCACACACAAACCAGTCTCACAAAGGACACAGCTCCTAGAACCTTGCTGGAGGAGGTTGGTCAGAGCCTGAGTTCAGCCAGGACTTGGGTTCAAGGCCTGTTATTTTGCAATGTGGACACAGTTCAGGTCCCAGACCTGAGTCTCAAGGTCAGTGCAGTGCAGTATGGATGTATTAGCAAGGGTGTGAGAGCCAGGTCCAGCAATTATAAGCCCAGGTTCCCCATGCACGGTGGACACTTAAGCATGGGCTTGGAAACACAATCCGGGGTCCTGGGACCTGGGTGGACAGTGCAGTGGAGACACTTAGAGGGGCCGAGCACCTGCCTCTCCTATTGATTGCAGCTGGAGTTGGAGGGGGGGAGGCTCATTGGTTCTGACTGGCTTGGAGGAGCCCAGGGGCCCCATTTCACCTCATAGCTCCTTGGGAAGAGTGGGGTTGCAGGGGAACCCCTATGGTTCAGACAGCGCTCAGGACAGGCCGCCCTAGGTACCAGAGAGCAAGTGTGAAAAATGGGGACACTTTTTTCGGTGGTGGTGGTGGGGGGGTTATATAAGACAAAGCCCCTAATATCGGCATGGCCCTGATACTATGGGGCCCTCTGGTCGCCCTGGGCCGCCACCTCCAGGGGAGAGGCTGGCTGGGCTGGGGTGCGTGAAGCAGCCCACACCTGGCTGTGTGGGGCGGGGGTAGTGTATGGGGGACCCCCAAACACACACACACTCCTCCACCCCAGTGCCCGGGGACCAGCCCGGGGGGGGCGCCCCTCGCTGCAGCGCGGCTCCCCCCGGAGCCCCGCCCGCCCGCCCAGGGCTGGGGAAAGCGGGGGACCGCGGCGAAGGCACTCGGGGCGGATCGGAAAGCGTCGGGTGGCTCCTGGCCGCCTCCCCCTCCCCTGCCCGCGTGTGTGTCTCCCTCCTCCGCCCCTCGCCGGGCTGGCTGAGCAAGCGGCTGCACACAGGCTGGGGGCTCGACTCCGGCTGCTGCTGCCCTCGGCGCCCCATCCATGGCACCGCCCGCCGCCGCCGCTCCCCGGGCCGCTGCCCCTGCACCCCGGCGCGGCATGGAGTAGGGGCCAGGCAGCCTCCTGCGCCGCGCCGCGCCGAGCCGAGCGGGGGGTCCCCCCCTTGGAGCTCCGCGCCTGGCAGCGCCCCCAGCGCGCCCCGCAGCCCCCCGTCCCCTCCTGGCGCCTGGGCCGCCTCGCCAGCCCATGGAGGCGGCGGCGGAGAAGGAGAAGCGGCGGCAGCCAGTCCCGCCGGCGGTGGCCGGGGCTCGGGTCTCCCGGCCGGAGATGCTGCTGCCGCCCGGGAACCGGCACCGGAGCCAGGCTCGCCGGAGAAGGAGGGAGCTGCTGCTGGCTCGGCTCTGCCTCGTGGGCTCGCTCACGCTGCTCCTGGCTTCCCTCTCCAGCTGGGCTGGGCGATCCGGTGAGTCCCCAGCCCCTGGCGCGGCCATCGATTATCCCTCCGGGGGCCGTGTCTCGGGGGGGTGGGTGATCCCCGGGGCCGGGGATGGAGTTCATTCTAGGGGTTCTGCTCCCCTGCGGGGAAGGAGGGGCTCTTCGGGTGTGTTAGTTCAATGGCAGGTATCCACAGAGAAGGGTCACGATCCGTGGCTGTTCAGGTATTCAATCCAACCCTTTTTCGCTGGCTTTTGTGTGCGTGAATGTGTTAGATCTGTAGTTGTGCAGTCAGCACCGGTCGGGCTCTTGGTGGTCTCCAAGAAGTCACTGTCACCTCCTGGAGTCCAAGAGACCAGCTCCTACAGCTGAGTTGTACCGAATAGCTAAAGATATTCGCTAATCAGGGTCATTTACTGGCAGGTGTGCTGCTAAAGTGACCTCTAGCATGACACCTAGGAAAGAAAGTGAGGAAAAGTTGTTGTAGCTGGTCTCACTCCATAAATATGTTTATATGTAACATTCTGTCTCCTGCACTTACCTCCACCTCGGTAACTGTGCACATAACCACCTGGGTTTCCTTCAGCACAGTGAAAAGATGGACAATATCTTTCACATTCCTCTACATAGAATATAACTTCACCTTATGCTATATGCATTAACACTCCTCACTTGCTGTGAATGTAACAATAACTAATAAAAGGTGACTTTTTGGCGTGACTTAGACATTGCTTTCAGTTCCTCCAGTTTTGATTAGTATTAGTGAGATCCCATCACTTGTGCTTATGGTGCCGTGGGAATCTTCACATTTTGCTTTGTATGTGCCTTTTTCAAATCTGTTTTTGAATTTCTGCAGTCCTCAGTGAGATTGACAGTCCACTTTAAGCTCAGTGCCTGTTCAATTTCCACAGCCTCAGATCTGAGCACCAACACAATCCCACTCCTCACGCTTCCCAGTCCTGGGCCTTTCCTGAGATGACATAACCAATCATGGAAAAATGGGGTAGTCAAATGTGCAGAGGAAACTACCTGGACTGAGATCGCTGTCCCACATTTCGCTTGTGATCTAAGCAGGCTAAAACCCAGGTCTCCAGAAGAACTGTGCATTCAACCGCTCTCTTAAATTCTCTTAAACTAGTCTCTGAAATTGCATAATTGGTGAATACATATTGACTACGTTAGGAAGAAAATTAGTGCTCTTTAAAAATAACATCTCTCTGATACAACGTAAGGTTAGAATTGCATACATCATGTTTAAGGTGCTTTAAAAATCCCTATTAAGAGACAAATCTAAAACCTTGTTAGATTGTCATTTAAAATGAATGTTCATACTTTTGCTTTTGGCGAGCTTCATTTGATTTGAACAGCCTTTGCTTTAATCACAAGGTGACCGTGAAACGTAAAATATTCAGTTGTCAAGCTGACTTCTCTATTAGTTTATTTTAAAATGTGATCTTCTCCATATGTTTTACTAGTTCCATGGGTTCACTTGTCAACATTGATTGCCACATGGGGACGTTGTGAATGTTAGATGTTTGCACTGATGTGACAGGAGAGAAACTTTCTGAGTGCATTTGCATGAGTTGCGGATATAATTGTGTTCAGTTGAGCTGCAGTTGTATAATGCTAGCTGAAAAGGTATTCAGTTAGACTTATTTAATCCTCTCTGTGCAGTTGGTCTTAATGAGGTGAAAGTCGGTTTATAGCACTTTACCCACCTTTAGATAAAAGAAATTCCATGTCAATTCATATGTTGTCTATTATGATTGCAGTTCATGCAGTCATGTTCAGTGAGTTATAGAGTAACACTGTATACTTTTTTCAAGGGAGATAATGAAATGGGAGATAATAGGTGGGAAATAATGAAATGTTTGGCTTTTGGAGAGTGAAATAGATGGCATTGCAGTCAGTGGGCTTTTGAAACCTGCAGGAAAGCTGGGGCAATTATGATCATATGTTAGAGGATTTGTTAGAAACTTGAAGCAGCTCAGTGTGCCATTTTGTATTGAAATGATTTCTGGAGGAGTGACATTCGATTTCAGCTGTTCATTGACCATCTCCTGGTTCATTTTTTCAGCCAGCTATAAAACGACTGGAGTGTGAAAATACCGCACAATATTCTTATCAAGCTATAACATGTGATTAATATTTGCATGTAAAATATGCCGGTGTAAGCAAAAACTGTGCAAGGCTATTTTTCTTTAAGTGCAGTACAATGGCTTAAATTTGGTCCGATGGGAACATTAATGTTCATAGTGTTTAACTGTATAAAGTAAAGAACTAGGTAGTTTGTAGTATTTAGGAAAGGCTGTAAACACCCTGAATAATGGTTGAATGCAGTATTTTATTTATTACGTATACAGCCACGTTTTGAAGGATTATTGTAATTTTGGACTTAGTGCCCCTAAACTATTTAGACGTTTCTTTGCTCTTATTGTTTTTTAATTAAAGCTATTTCTTCTTAAACATATTCATTGTTCTTTCTACTTTGAGAGATCAATGTAGGATCAGAAAAGACAGAAAACATCTTAAATATAAATATATGCAGATATCTTCCACTTTTATAAATGACTTTCTTACAGAAAAATCCCAACGTTCTCCTTTGCTTTGAGAGCTTTGCTATTGACTTAAAAGTAACCAGGATTTACCCTCTCTCTATATCAATTGCATAACCTAAAACCACTGAAATGCAGCCACCTCTGAGATGGAACATAGCAGCTGCTTAATATTGCACAGCATTACTATACAGCAGTTATTAGATCATGTGGAAAAGGGGAATACCAAGTCTATTTTAAAGTGCAAATGTAGGGCAAAATTCTCTGTGATCTGTAGTGTGGATTTCTGTTGCATATTTTGCACTGGTTGAATGCACAGTTTTCCCACTGATGTCAAAGGGAACTCCATATGTGGAACAAAGGCAGAACATGCCGTAGAGATCTGTACTGAGATAAGAGAGAAGCGTGACCATACTTTGTTTAAATTGTTCAGAATGTTCTGCACCAGGTACTAATAAATTTTGTCACCGCTGACCCTGTTTTTGTCTTCATTCAGTTTTGGTGAGTGTCTAGCAGCATCCGTAGTCAGTGTTGCTTGAAAACTGATCTGAGAAATGAGAAATATCATTGAGCGTCACACATGCACCCCGGTATATACATCAGCAAGGTGGCAAGATGGAGCTGGGCGCAGGTACATTGTGCATTCAGGTCGCAATAGGTGGGATTTTCAAAAGCTCTCAAGTGACTGAGGAACACAAATCCCATCGACTTTCCAATGGGACTTATGCCCCTAATTCACTTAGCTACTGTTGAAAATTCCACCGACTGATAATAGCCTGTATGTTTTAACTTGGTTGTATGTGGCGGAATTTCTACATATTATATTTTAATGATTTTTTAATCTGTGCAAAAGTTGTGCAATTATTTGGAAAATGGGATCAGACACAAGCAATGCGCTAGATTATAGCACCCTTATGTTGACTCGTGCCTTATACCATAAGTAGCTCCATTGTAGCCTACTCAGTGTGAGTAAGATGATTTCAGCCTAGCCCTATGGTGTTTAACTTTATATTAAAACAGACACTATAATGTAAGTTTTTAAATTAAGGACAGAGGCCCTAACTCAGTGAAGTATTTAAGCAGGTGTGTCTGACTTTAAACACATTAGTCTCAATGACTTCACTGGGATTATTCATGTGCTTAAAGTTACGCAAGTGCTTAAGTACCCAGCTGACCTGGGGTTGACATGGAGACGTGGAAGCAGTCTCAGTTCTCATAATGCCTTTTAGATCCAAGTATGACAATATTAAAACAACACAATGTTTGAATCATCTAAGCCCTATTTAATACATGTTCAATTTTTCCCTTGCTTTACATTTTCTCCTTTGATCTCTTCTGCTTTTCTCAGTTTTCCTAGCTGTTCTTTTCACCCACCTTTCCCCCGAGACTTCAGCAGCGCTGTTGCCTGAGACATCACTGTGGGACTCTTTCCCAGAGAGAGCTGGCAGAACTGACAGAGAGCTCATAGGACTGTGTAGATCAGCCTGACAGTACAAGATTTTTACAACACCCCTGAAGCCCAATAAAATGTGAAATGAGTTTCTGTCCCTAACACTTCCCCACTACAAATGTAAATATTCACTGTTCATTTCTAAGGTTTGGACTGAGTCTAGTTTCTCTCTCTGTGTTTGCATGTAAGTACTTCAGTCTACCTAGAAGAATCTTAGGAAAATAGGCTAGAGAATAGCTGAGGATTGCAAGCTGTCCCTAGGAAAGGACTTGGGGAGACTGGTAACCAAGGGTAACTATCTTTACTGTTAATCAGAGTAGCAGCCGTGTTAGTCTGTATCCGCAAAAAGAAGAGCAGGAGTACTTGTG